GGCCCATGGCATAAACCCCCCCAAACCAAAAAAACAAAGCTGTTATAGTTATTGCGGCCCTTAAAGCAACAGTCAGGCCCACTAACACTAAACCATGCTACTGCCCCTACCAGCAGAAAAGGTAACGGGTGATTGCAACAGGCCACCCCTGAGCCCTAAGTTCCGAAACCGTAAGCCCCCCAGCCCTGAACCCAAAGTTCCCGAACCCTAAGAAGTAAGTTCCTAAGCCTTATACAATCTTTAGTTTCAAACCCTAGTAAACAAAGCCTAAACCCGAACCTACAATCCCCAAACCGCCCAGATCCGTAAACCCTAACACCCATAACCCTAAAATCCCTAAGTCCCTAAGCCACCAAGGCCTACAAGCCTAATTTGGGGCCCTGGCGGCCAACAGCAAAGTCAGGCCAATCGGCCGTCCGGCCCGGATCAATCCTCGGACGTCGGGGTTTTGTGGTTTAGGGTTTAGGGTTTAGGGTTTAGGGTTTAGGGTTCGTTTAAACTCAATTCCAAGAGATAAGGTCCTTGCCGGGTTTGTGCATGGTTTCGACTTAGGGAGTCATTGGGGACAATGACAGGGGGTTCTTTTCAGATTTAGGGTTAGGGTTTAGGGTTTAGAGTTTAGGGCTTAGGGTTTAGGGTTTAGAAAGGGTTTCAGGTTTGGGGTCTTACAGGGTTGAGGATTTAGGGAAAGAAAGGGCATTTGGTAGGGTCGAAGCAAGGGGCTCTTTTACGGGATCTGTAAGGCGTTTAGAGGGCGTGGCTTGGTTTTAGCGTGTGTTTGAGGCTTGTTGGGATTTCGGGCTTGAGGAACAATAGGGCAATAAGGATTGTAATCCTGAGCGCTGCGAAATGAGCTAGCCTTGTGTCGCTCGAGGAAGGAAAGGCACATAGCCCAGCAAACTCAATATCACCATCACATAGCTCAGCGACGATTCCGGCCGGTCCATCCAGACTACAAAGCAATAATAAGTAATTAAAACGAGCCCGTCCATGCGAGTGCTGGCGGCATCTGGGTCTGCGGTTCGGAGGTCCATAGTGAACCCGGAAAGTTGGAGATATGGGACGGGTAATGCGGTGAGTCCCTACACTTTACCTTAAGGGTATGAGGATAGTGATGTTCCAACTTTCTGGCTTCTACTATAGGTGTTGAGCATTCCGGAATTTGGGGCTTGGGGTTCAGGTAGGGCTTTCAGGGTTGAGGATGCAATAGTACTAGGGTAGGGTTTGTGGAACGGTCTACAGGGTTGGAATTGGGTCGGATTTTTGACCGGGGGGGGTTTGGATTTACTGGCGAACATTCCTAAACTGAGTTGTTCGAGGCTGTCGGTGTCTGGTGGCTTAGTAACTTAGGGATTCATTCCTCTTCTAGCAATTCCAGTTTAAAGCTTCAGAGTCTGGAGAAGGTGCTGGCTTTTGGAAGGTTTAGGGGCTTAGGGTTAGGGTTTAGGGTTTGGGTTTGGGGTTTGGGTTTAGGGTTTGGGTTTAGGGTGCTAGGGTGGTGGAGTTACATCGGCTTGCGGACAACCCGGCTTCCTTGCCGAGCAGGTTGCTAAGTGTGGAAAGAGCTTCTAAGGCGCATGGCAGGTCATTAGTTAACATATCCCTAAAACCTAAACCCTAAACCCTAAACCCAAAGCCACATTGCCCTGGAAGAGGGGATCCCAAGCTCAGGTCCTTTTGCCGCCAGTTCTTGGATTCTGAAACAAAGAAGAAGGGGTTTAGGGTTTAGGGTTTAGGGTTTTCAGGGTCTGGCTACCCATCGGGTCCCCCCACAGGGTACTATAGGGTTTTCCATAATAGCGTACTGCAGGCTTCTACAATGTGGCCCCTCTAAGGGTCCAAGTATCTAAGAACCATATCCTCTCCCATACCAAGCTACTATCCTAAACCTAAGTGCACTGAGTTCTTTGGACCCGCAGGGAAGTAACATGGCGGCCTGAATATGTAGAACAGGGTTGTGGGCACCTGAAACTCTAGGACATAACGTCAGTATATATGTATATATATATATATGTATATATATATATATATGTATATATATATATATGTGTGTGTGTGTATGTGTAGTACCCTAAACCCAATATTGTCAACAGTCGAGATATCTGTGGTAAGCATCCCGAAGCCAAAACAGTGAGAGGGGATTGAAGTCTCGAAAAGACCACTGCCAAGACGGCAACTGTGGCCTAGAGGGTTTAGGGTTCAGGGTTTAGGGCTCCATTTGGGAGAACTCGGGCTCCAGCAGAGGGTTATCAGATTGAAATAGTCGCCCTCGGCCAAAAAACGCTGGCCACAAGAACCCTACTCCCTAAACCCTAAACCCTAAATCGTTTCTCAAGCTGCCATGTCAGGTCTTGCTACTGGGGGACCCTGCTCATGTGCAACGCCAGGAATAAGCCAGAAAAGGTGGGAGGTTACCTACCCTAAACCCTAAACCCCAAACCCTAGACCCTAAACCCCAAACCCCAACCCTCAGAACCCTAAGTAGAACATGGGCCTGCAACACGCGGCCTGTGTACTGTAATCCGAAGAAGGAACCCCGACCGAGGAAGAGCATTTGTGGCAATTCATCAGGATTCCGTACTACTCAGAAACTAAGCTTGCGTTCAGGGTTTGGGTTTCGAGATGGTTGGCTCAGACAGCAGAAACTCTAAGGAAACCCTCCAAGAAGACATGATATAGTTTGTTGTACAGCTATGCTACTACTATACCGTAGCACCCCCCAATACAAAAAAACTCTCTTCGAAAGGAGAAGACCTCTTTGTTAGCCAAGGGACGGCGTCTCGGCAGGAATGCCATTGGCACCCTGCCACGGCCCGCCGTTGGTGGTTTTGGGGAGCTTGGTTTAGGGTTTAGGGTTTGACAAGCCTGAAGTTCTAAGACTCTAAATCCTAAACACTACAATCCTCAACTAACCCTAAACCTGACAAGACATCAAATCGAGCTTCGTTGGGCACTCATCGTTGTTTGCAGGTAGATTGCAGCCGTGTTCGGTTTTCCGTAAACCTTATCTAAACTGCACACAGTACATACATAAGCCCCATAGATAAGCCCCAGATAAACCAGAAAACAAAACACCTGCACCCCAAATACAAATCAAGAAACCCTGAATCTTAAATCGCAAATTGCCAAACCTTGTTCATGCAATAAGGGTGCAGGGTGGGTTCAAGGCTTCTAAGGTCGAAGTCGGGGACGACGGTGGGCCGCGGCTAGGCCACCCGAACTGAGAGGGTTTAGGGTTAGGGCTTGGGGCTTAAAGTTTCGGTAACATGGGAGCCGTATTCTTTGGAGGAGCTATGTTTGGCAGGCTTTGGGGTATGGTGATTCCTCCCTTTGTTAAGCGGTCTGATAGAAAGACGACGACACTTCGAACACTAAACCCCGAATCCAAAACCCTGAACTTTGAACCTACTCTCACCCAAACCCTACACAATGCATGCACACACACACACACAGACACCAACACCCTAAGCGCCTGAACGTTGGATTCTGAACGCCCTTACCCTCACCAACAGCCGGCGCGAAGAAACAGATGAAGGAGGGAAGTGCAACGCTCGAAATCGTGGCAACACATACTGACGATGATGGTCATGTTCTTGACGGTTTTCCGCATGATAATCATGAAACTCACTGTTGCTGAGAGTTGTGGCAATCTCAGGCCGCGAGCGAAGTTTTTATCACCACCATGACCATCGCCCAACGTCACCACGAGCTGCAATATCTTAATGCTTGGCCATCATCTTCAGTACCCAGATAGTCAACAGCACAACTATAATCGCGGGGAGCATCATCTTCTCGATCACTGAACTCCGAAGCATCAGTCTTCATGTTCTTCTGCAACGTGATAGCCATCACTACCACCACCGACATGGTCCTGACATTACTATCATGGTCGTCGTCGTCTTCATGTTCATGATCACCGTTGTCATCGTCTTCATGCCCTAAACCCTAAACTCTCATCATCATGATCATCATCATCAGCAGCAGCAGCATAATCCTCATACTAAAACCGTCGAAAACGAGGGTGAGGCGATCGACGCAATCTCGCTCTCTTGTGTAAATCAAGCTGTGGCTGCTTCTTGTACCTATCGACCCTATGAGAAACTATAGTTCACCAAAAAAGTACGATACCATAGGGTCAAGAGTCTAGGCAGAAGCACTTTTTCACCGATTGCGTGGGCGACTGCCAGGGAGTGGCTTCGAAAACAGCCACAAGGAACTCCGTCGGATGCGCATCATCATTTAACCGCAGGTGTAAGGACTCGGCAGGTTCGCCTGCTTTTCCTGCAGGCCTGACATGCCCTGCGAAACGGGAACCCACTGGATGGCAACATGGAACAAGCTGCAGATCCGAAACAAAGGTTCTGGCTCGAAGTTGCTTAAAGCATCGTTGTTCACCCCCGCAGGGGCGATGGGAAGTCCCACAGAAAAGGTATTAAATCTGTGGGCTTCTTGCCGTCGGGCTCCGGAAACCGGGGTAAGGATCTTAATGAATCGATTTTTGAAGCCAGAAGCCATGGAGCACTGCACTGCACCCGGGATCAGCTTAGCTGCCGTTGCTCAGAGCACTCTCATCCAGATTCGACGGAGGTTGTAGACCCTAAACCCTGAACCCTACTGGATAAGCTACCCGTCAGTCATTTTAAGAACCCGCCAGGAAGAGCGAGGCGAAAAGAGTCGGCTGACCCCAATACACCTTCATGTGGGAGACCTTGCCATCCTTCACCTTGTACCTCGGTTTGGGCATTTGGGCTTTAGGGTTTAGGGTTGAGGTTTTACATTTACGGTTTTATAACGGCCCGACCAGGGTGTCCAACTTTGTCGGCTTGAGTATAGGTTCGGTGTAGGGCTTCGGATTTGGCGTGTAGGGCTTCGGGTGTAGTGCGGAGGGGCCGGTGACGGCGTGCAACGTGTGGTAGAGCTTCGGGCCAGGAAGACTGCACTCCTAGATCCTAAACCCGAAATCCTAAACCCGAGACCCTAAACCCTAGACCCGAGTTATCCTATTCAGATGTCATAAAGAGCTCGAAAAAATGCGAGCCAAATAACTCCACCATGTTGTCCAGCGGATGATCAGTGGTCTTCCCGGTGGCGATGACAGTTGGAGTCAAAGTCTCCTTGGGGTTTGGGGCTTAGGGCCTAGGGTTTCGAGTTTAGGGCTTAGAGTTAGAGTTTCGGGTTTAGGGTTTTGGGTTTAGTTACAACTTGTCTCAAGAAAGACCCTAAACCCTTAACGAAGACTCTAACTGGGATGATCGTACTTGTACTTAAACGGGGCTGAATACCCTAGCCCAAAACAGTGTTAGTTTAAGAAGAATGCCCGAAAGAACTGGACTTCGGAGTTTGGGGGGGTCTCGGTACTTTAGGGCTTAGGGTTTAGGGTTTAGGGTTGAGGGTTGAGGGCTCAGGGTTTGGTGTAAGGTTCAGGGACTATGAGAAACGAGAAACCCCGCAAACTACCAAATCCTGTTGCAGACCCCCACCTTGATCACGACGGTTCCCCTTCCATCGTGAAGCATGTACGCCAAGGTGTAGTCCGGCTGCCGGAAGGTCGACAAAAACTCGCTGAACTCGCAGATTCCCTTCCGAGGAAGGCTCGGGGCTCGGGGTTTTAGGGTTTAAGGTTTAGG